CCCCTGCTGAACCCCTAACTCCACTCCCACGTCACCCCCCTAGCACCACTCCTTCGGCTCCCACACACCCACCCCCCTGAGCGGCAGCTGCAGCAGCGGGAGACGGAGGAGGAGGAGTAGGGGACGGGGCACACAACCGGCACCCCCACAACCGCCACCCCCACACTCCCCACCCCCAAACCCTAAAACGGGTGGCACGGGGCAGGAGCGCGGGGGACGGCGCGCGGCCCCCAGGGCGCCACCATGGGGCAGCGAGGGGCCGCGCGCGGCCCCTCAGGGCGCCGCGACGGGGCAGCGGGGGGGTCGCGCACGGTTCCAGGGGCGGCTCGCGGGTCCCCGGGGGCGACGCGAGGGTCAACGGGACGCCGCGCGCGGGTCCATCGGGTCGACGCGACCGTCGACGGGGCAGCGGGGGGTCGCGCGCGGCTCCCCAGGGCGGCGCGACGGGGTGGCGGGGCGACGCGACCACCGACGGGGCAGCGGGGGCAGCGCGCGGGTCCCCTAGGGCGACGGGGCGGTCGACGGGAGGGGGGGAAGCGCGGGTCCCCGGGGTGACGCACGAGGGAGGAAACCGCCGCGCGCCTCGGGGCCACGGCGGGCAGAAAACCGCCGCGCGCCCCGAGCGCGCGGCGGGAAGAAAAAACGAACATCGCGCGCCACGGGACGCGCGACACACAGGAAGGCAGCGGAAGCAGGCGGGCCCACAGGCCAGGAGCGTAACCGCTCTGATAGCATGTTAGAATAGTAGCTAGTATGAAAGAGCCATAGCTAGGGTTTACCTAGCTAGGCAAGAGAGAATAGGCAAAAGAGGGTTTGACTAGAAAGAAGGGAGGTACAAATAGCAAGCCCTAAAAGGGTTTACTCACTATTGAGTACCCCACTACAGGCAAGACAAGCATTATAATCTGACACCGGACTCCCCTCATCAGAATGGGGTTGCTGAGCGCCGCATTGGCTTGGTCATGGACATCGCCCGCACGTCCATGATCCATGCCCGTGCGCCCCATTTTCTGTGGCCCTACGCGGTTCGCTACGCCGCGCACCAGCTGAACCTCCAGCCGCGCGTCTCGCGGCCAGAGGCTTCACCGACCAGTCTTTGGACCGGGTCCCCTGGTGTTGGGTCGGCTTTTCAAGTCTGGGGCTGCATGTTTGCGTCACCTCTGCTGACAAGCTCTCGGCACGCACCATCCCCTGTATTTTCCTTGGTTTCCCGGCAGCCTCGACCGACTGGTCCTTTTACCACCCGCCCCTCCACCAGTTCCTAGACTCTTGTGACGTCCGGTTGGACTCTTGTGTCTCTTGGTACGCTCGCTACCCCTGTAGAGGTCTCCCGGTTCCCCCTCCCCCCCTTTTCCTCGCACCCTCTCTTCCCCCTACTCCCGCTCCTCCGGTACCCCCACCCCCCCCTGGTCCTGCCCCGTCAGGTGTGTCTCACGCTACCCCTCTACCCTCGGTCGCGCGTCAGGTAGCGTCTCCCTCCCCGCAGTCCTCCTCACAGCCCCCTCAGCAGCCTTCGGTTCTTCCGAGACTGGTTACTGTGGACTCGGTTGGTGTTGGAGCTGGAGGTGCGGCCACTGGCGGTGCTAGGTCTAGGGGTGCTTGGTCGAGGGGTGCTGGATCTGGAGGTGCTGAAACTGGAGGTGCTAGTTCTGGGGGTGCTGGAGCTGGAGGTGCTGGCACTGGAGGTGCTAGCTTTGGGGGTGCTCGAGCTGGGGGTCCTGGCACTGGGGGTGCTCGGACAGGGGGTGCTGGGGCTGGGGACTCTGACCCTGGTGGCGCCCCCTCTAAGGACACTGGTACTGGAGGTGCTAGTTCTGAGGAGCCTTGAGCTGGGGGCACTACGTCTGCGGAGAGCACTCCGCCTCCCCACCGTCACGCCACGCGTTTCCAGGCGGCCTGCCGGCGTGCGCGCGAGGAGCAGGAGCGGTTGGAGCGGGAGCGGCAGGAGCTGCGGCAGTTGGACCTCCTGGAGCAGTAGCAGCAGCAGCAGCAGCAGCAGCAGCCGCCGCAGCAGCAGCAGCAGCAGCAGCCCCCGCGGCCTTCGGGCCCTTGGTCTTCCCTCCCCTCCTCCTGTCCACCCGCAGTCACTGCCCGCTTACGGTCCTATGTTTCTTCCTCCGGACTCGTCTCCGGCTGTTTTCCCTCCTTCTCCTTCATAGTTACCTCCTCCTGTTGTCCCGCACGACTGGACCGCTCGTTGTCCCCAGTGTGCTCGTCCCTCGTCTCCTCTTGCCGACCTTCGCACCGCCTTGTTTCGTTCCGGTCCTCGTCGTGCTCCTCCTATGTTTGTTCTCCCTTCACCTCCTGAGTCGGCTCTTACAGCCTCCCTCTCTACCCCTATCACTGACTACTACCGTACGGTGCGTCCTGTTGTCTCGCGTGTTCTCGCTTCTCTTGTCACCGACCCTCGTGCCTCTCCGTCGCCAGTCTCCGCTCTCACTGCCTTTGCGTCCACCTGTCGCCTTGACTTTGCCACCCGTGTCGTAGCTGCCCCGCCTGCCCGTCCTGAGGCCGCCGGGGGTGGGTTTGCCCTTGGCTGTGACGTCCTCCAGGACAGGCAGTTTGAGTTGGAGTTCCTGGCAGCTGCTTCCCTCTCTCTTTGTGCCATGTTGCTTTCCCCTGAGGGAGACTCTGACGCCCTTGACATACCGACTCCTCGCACGTACCGTGAGGCAGTGTCAGGGGAGTGATTCTCTTAGTGGAAAGCGGCCATGGACTCAGAGTTGGCTTTTTACAGATCCACAGGCACCTACGTCGACGAGGTTCCCCCTCGCGGAGCGAACATTGTCGATGGCATGTGGATTTTCAGGGTGAAGCGACCGCATGGATCACCGCCTGTGTTCAAGGCGCGTTACGTGGCCAGGGGCTTCAGTCAGCGTGAGGGAGTTGACTTCTTCCAGACCTTTTCCCCCACCCCGAAGATGACTACTCTTCGGGTGTTACTCCATGTAGCAGCACAGTGAGACTACGAGCTGCATTCTCTCGACTTCTCCACTGCTTTCCTCTAGGGCCGCTTACACGAGGAGATCTGGCTGCGCCGTCCTCCTGGTTTCACTGACACCTTCCCACCTGGGACTCACTGGAGCTTGAGACGACCAGTCTACGGTCTCCGCCAGTCGCCCCGTGAGTGGCACGACACTCTTCGCTCCACGCTTCGTGACCTAGGGTTTCGTCCCTCCTCTGCTGACCCGTCGCTGTTTCTTCGCACTGACTCCTTCTGTATCCTGGTCTACGTCGACGACCTGGTGTTTGCTACAGCTGACAGGGCAGCACTGGCAGAGGTGAAATCCGAATTGCAGAAGAGACAGATGTGCACTGACCTTGGGGAACTGCGCCGCTACCTTGGCCTGCAGATCTCCAGGGACAGAGCCGCTCGCACCATCACACTGACTCAGTCACACATGGTGCAGCAGGTCCTTCGGCGGTTCGGGTTTCAGTTCTCCACCACACAGCCCACTCCTCTTGCTGTTGACCACAAACTCACCGGCCCCTTCCCCGACGAGCCCTTTGAGCCCAGTGGTCCCTACCCAGAGCTTGTTGGCTGCCTCATGTACCTGATGACCTGTACTCGCCCGGACCTCGCCTACCCTCTTAGTGCCCTCTCTCGCTTTGTTGGACCTGGGAGGCACCGTCCTGTTCACTGGACGGCTGCCGTGAGGGTGGCGAAGTACCTGGCGACTACATCAGGCATGGGGCTTGTGCTTGGAGGGACTCAGCCAGTTGAGCTGACTGGCCTCTGTGATTCTTCTTACGCTAACGACGTGGAGACTCAGCGCTCGACCCAGGGTTACTGTTTCAGTCTGGGAGTTGGAGCTATGTCGTGGAGGTCCACACGGTCGTCGTCGGTGGCTTCGTCCAGTGCAGAGGCAGAGATCTACGCCGGTGCTATGGCTGCTCAGGAGCTTTGCTGGTTGACCTTCTTGCTCGCTGACCTTGGTGAGCGGCCTCGCACTGCTCCGACCTTGTTCGCTGACAACAAGGCCATGATTCTCTTGTGTCGCGAGCCTCGACTGGAGACTAGGGTTAAGCACATCGATGTTCGGTACTTCCTCCTGCGTGAGCTACAGCGACGCGGCCAGGTACGGTTGGACTTTGTGGCCTTAGAGGCCGACACTGCTGACCTCTTCACCAAGGCATTGACGCCTGGTGATCACCACCGGTTCTGTGTGCAGTTAGGGCTTGTTGAGGCAGGTCCTAGGTTACTGTAGACTTGTTGCTTCCTCTGCTTGTCGTGCTTTGTTATTATATATCTTAGTGAACTCCTGAACTGGCCTTGTGGTCGCTTGCTTGTGCTCTGAATTTGTGTGGTGTCCTTGAGATCCACCCTGAGCTTGCTTTGCTTGTTGCATTGACTGGTCTTATGACCATTTGTTCACCCTGCTTGCTTTGATGCCCCTCACTTAGCCTATGGGGGTGCGTCAAATGTTGATAATCTCACCATTCCGTTGCATTCATACTTTGAGAAAAACGTATTAAATATTCATGATGCTATCGTCACATGGAAAATGCTTTGAATTAAATTATAAGTAAGCGGGTGCAACAACAGTGAAGATGTGATTGCAATCAATGACAGCCTTAGAAATCTTGCTCATGATACAAAGTAATACTTATTATATATCATAATCTTTATCTCTAGTGCACTCATCGTTAACTTTGTTTAATTGCATTTGTAACGAGCACAAAAAATGCTACGCAACCCTTGCGATCCTAAACGTCGAGCCTTGTTTTCTGCTGCCGTCGCTGGCAAGGGCGTAGCACAGCGCTACATTAGCATAGTCCACTTTTATCCACACCTAACTGAAATTCGTGTGCTTGTCGAGATAATAAGTGCGAGATACTCTGTCGTGCGGAGAACCGCCATCTCCGCCTCCCTGGTTCGGCTCAAACAAGCACCCTCCTCGCGGATACACGGGAAATTGATCCTCTCCGTTCTCAACCGCATCGTTATCACCTCCGCCAACCCCACACCTTCGTCCTATCTCTTCCCCGAGTCGCCCGCCATGAATCAGCCGCGTCGCAAGTCTGCGTTCCGCATCGAGCCGTTTCGGCACAAGGTGGAGATGGACCCGCGATACGCGGAGAAGACGTGGGGCATTCTCGAGGACGCCATCCACCAGATCTACAACCACAACGCCTCGGGCCTCAGCTTCGAGGAGCTCTACCGGTACGTGCGTGCGGCCTCAGCTGCCACGAGGTCTATCGGTATGCCCTCCGTCCCTCCCTTGCTCCCTCCCTCGGCGTGCGGTCTTCTCTAGGTCTCCGTCCACAGCATCTACAATCACAACGCCTCCGGCCTCCGCTTCCAATAGCTCTATTGGTACGCGCCTCCTTCCGCCCTGCGTCGCTGTCTCTTCGCTTCTGCAAATCCGCCCTTCCAAGAGCTCTAAAGGCACGTTGGCCTCAGTTTCGCCGTTCCAAGAGCTCTACCGGCATGAGCACGGCGACTGCCTCTACGCGTGGCTAGTAGGCGCGCTAAGAGTGTCTTTCCCCTCGTGCCCTCCCCCCCTCCCATCCCATCACAGCAACGCGTACATCAAGGTGTTGCACAAGTACGGCAACCGCCTCTATGCGGAGCTGGGTAGCACTCTTCATGTGTCTTTCTTGTCATTCTTCCCTTTATCCCCCCTTTCATCCCATCCCATCCCCTCCCCCCCCTCCTCCCGTCACAGCAACGCGTACAACATGGTACTCCATAAGTACGGCAACCGCCTGTACGCGGGGCTGGTAGGCAACCGCCTGTACGCGGGGCTGGTAGGCAACCGCCTGTACGCGGGGCTGGTAGGCAACCGCCTGTACGCGGGGCTAAGACTGTCTTTCCCTTGTCTCTCCCTGTGTTTTTACCCACTTCCCCCTTTCCCCCTCCCCCCTCCCCCCAAGCAACGCGTACAACATGGTACTCCATAAGTAGAGCAACCGCCTGTTCGCAGGGCCCGTCCCCACGCTACATGTGTCTTTCCCTTGTCTCTCCCTGTGCTTTCCCCCCTGTGCCTTCACCGCGTGTCCCCCTCCGCCCTCTCATTCACAGCAACGCGTACAACATGGTACTCCATAAGTAGAGCAACCGCCTGTTCGCAGGGCCCGTCCCCACGCTACATGTGTCTTTCCCTTGTCTCTCCCTGTGCTTTCCCCCCTGTGCCTTCACCGCGTGTCCCCCTCCGCCCTCTCATTCACAGCAACGCGTACAACATGGTACTCCATAAGTAGAGCAACCGCCTGTTCGCAGGGCCCGTCCCCACGCTACATGTGTCTTTCCCTTGTCTCTCCCTGTGCTTTCCCCCCTGTGCCTTCACCGCGTGTCCCCCTCCGCCCTCTCATTCACAGCAACGCGTACAACATGGTACTCCATAAGTAGAGCAACCGCCTGTTCGCAGGGCCCGTCCCCACGCTACATGTGTCTTTCCCTTGTCTCTCCCTGTGCTTTCCCCCCTGTGCCTTCACCGCGTGTCCCCCTCCGCCCTCTCATTCACAGCAACGCGTACAACATGGTACTCCATAAGTAGAGCAACCGCCTGTTCGCAGGGCCCGTCCCCACGCTACATGTGTCTTTCCCTTGTCTCTCCCTGTGCTTTCCCCCCTGTGCCTTCACCGCGTGTCCCCCTCCGCCCTCTCATTCACAGCAACGCGTACAACATGGTACTCCATAAGTAGAGCAACCGCCTGTTCGCAGGGCCCGTCCCCACGCTACATGTGTCTTTCCCTTGTCTCTCCCTGTGCTTTCCCCCCTGTGCCTTCACCGCGTGTCCCCCTCCGCCCTCTCATTCACAGCAACGCGTACAACATGGTACTCCATAAGTAGAGCAACCGCCTGTTCGCAGGGCCCGTCCCCACGCTACATGTGTCTTTCCCTTGTCTCTCCCTGTGCTTTCCCCCCTGTGCCTTCACCGCGTGTCCCCCTCCGCCCTCTCATTCACAGCAACGCGTACAACATGGTACTCCATAAGTAGAGCAACCGCCTGTTCGCAGGGCCCGTCCCCACGCTACATGTGTCTTTCCCTTGTCTCTCCCTGTGCTTTCCCCCCTGTGCCTTCACCGCGTGTCCCCCTCCGCCCTCTCATTCACAGCAACGCGTACAACATGGTACTCCATAAGTAGAGCAACCGCCTGTTCGCAGGGCCCGTCCCCACGCTACATGTGTCTTTCCCTTGTCTCTCCCTGTGCTTTCCCCCCTGTGCCTTCACCGCGTGTCCCCCTCCGCCCTCTCATTCACAGCAACGCGTACAACATGGTACTCCATAAGTAGAGCAACCGCCTGTTCGCAGGGCCCGTCCCCACGCTACATGTGTCTTTCCCTTGTCTCTCCCTGTGCTTTCCCCCCTGTGCCTTCACCGCGTGTCCCCCTCCGCCCTCTCATTCACAGCAACGCGTACAACATGGTACTCCATAAGTAGAGCAACCGCCTGTTCGCAGGGCCCGTCCCCACGCTACATGTGTCTTTCCCTTGTCTCTCCCTGTGCTTTCCCCCCTGTGCCTTCACCGCGTGTCCCCCTCCGCCCTCTCATTCACAGCAACGCGTACAACATGGTACTCCATAAGTAGAGCAACCGCCTGTTCGCAGGGCCCGTCCCCACGCTACATGTGTCTTTCCCTTGTCTCTCCCTGTGCTTTCCCCCCTGTGCCTTCACCGCGTGTCCCCCTCCGCCCTCTCATTCACAGCAACGCGTACAACATGGTACTCCATAAGTAGAGCAACCGCCTGTTCGCAGGGCCCGTCCCCACGCTACATGTGTCTTTCCCTTGTCTCTCCCTGTGCTTTCCCCCCTGTGCCTTCACCGCGTGTCCCCCTCCGCCCTCTCATTCACAGCAACGCGTACAACATGGTACTCCATAAGTAGAGCAACCGCCTGTTCGCAGGGCCCGTCCCCACGCTACATGTGTCTTTCCCTTGTCTCTCCCTGTGCTTTCCCCCCTGTGCCTTCACCGCGTGTCCCCCTCCGCCCTCTCATTCACAGCAACGCGTACAACATGGTACTCCATAAGTAGAGCAACCGCCTGTTCGCAGGGCCCGTCCCCACGCTACATGTGTCTTTCCCTTGTCTCTCCCTGTGCTTTCCCCCCTGTGCCTTCACCGCGTGTCCCCCTCCGCCCTCTCATTCACAGCAACGCGTACAACATGGTACTCCATAAGTAGAGCAACCGCCTGTTCGCAGGGCCCGTCCCCACGCTACATGTGTCTTTCCCTTGTCTCTCCCTGTGCTTTCCCCCCTGTGCCTTCACCGCGTGTCCCCCTCCGCCCTCTCATTCACAGCAACGCGTACAACATGGTACTCCATAAGTAGAGCAACCGCCTGTTCGCAGGGCCCGTCCCCACGCTACATGTGTCTTTCCCTTGTCTCTCCCTGTGCTTTCCCCCCTGTGCCTTCACCGCGTGTCCCCCTCCGCCCTCTCATTCACAGCAACGCGTACAACATGGTACTCCATAAGTAGAGCAACCGCCTGTTCGCAGGGCCCGTCCCCACGCTACATGTGTCTTTCCCTTGTCTCTCCCTGTGCTTTCCCCCCTGTGCCTTCACCGCGTGTCCCCCTCCGCCCTCTCATTCACAGCAACGCGTACAACATGGTACTCCATAAGTAGAGCAACCGCCTGTTCGCAGGGCCCGTCCCCACGCTACATGTGTCTTTCCCTTGTCTCTCCCTGTGCTTTCCCCCCTGTGCCTTCACCGCGTGTCCCCCTCCGCCCTCTCATTCACAGCAACGCGTACAACATGGTACTCCATAAGTAGAGCAACCGCCTGTTCGCAGGGCCCGTCCCCACGCTACATGTGTCTTTCCCTTGTCTCTCCCTGTGCTTTCCCCCCTGTGCCTTCACCGCGTGTCCCCCTCCGCCCTCTCATTCACAGCAACGCGTACAACATGGTACTCCATAAGTAGAGCAACCGCCTGTTCGCAGGGCCCGTCCCCACGCTACATGTGTCTTTCCCTTGTCTCTCCCTGTGCTTTCCCCCCTGTGCCTTCACCGCGTGTCCCCCTCCGCCCTCTCATTCACAGCAACGCGTACAACATGGTACTCCATAAGTAGAGCAACCGCCTGTTCGCAGGGCCCGTCCCCACGCTACATGTGTCTTTCCCTTGTCTCTCCCTGTGCTTTCCCCCCTGTGCCTTCACCGCGTGTCCCCCTCCGCCCTCTCATTCACAGCAACGCGTACAACATGGTACTCCATAAGTAGAGCAACCGCCTGTTCGCAGGGCCCGTCCCCACGCTACATGTGTCTTTCCCTTGTCTCTCCCTGTGCTTTCCCCCCTGTGCCTTCACCGCGTGTCCCCCTCCGCCCTCTCATTCACAGCAACGCGTACAACATGGTACTCCATAAGTAGAGCAACCGCCTGTTCGCAGGGCCCGTCCCCACGCTACATGTGTCTTTCCCTTGTCTCTCCCTGTGCTTTCCCCCCTGTGCCTTCACCGCGTGTCCCCCTCCGCCCTCTCATTCACAGCAACGCGTACAACATGGTACTCCATAAGTAGAGCAACCGCCTGTTCGCAGGGCCCGTCCCCACGCTACATGTGTCTTTCCCTTGTCTCTCCCTGTGCTTTCCCCCCTGTGCCTTCACCGCGTGTCCCCCTCCGCCCTCTCATTCACAGCAACGCGTACAACATGGTACTCCATAAGTAGAGCAACCGCCTGTTCGCAGGGCCCGTCCCCACGCTACATGTGTCTTTCCCTTGTCTCTCCCTGTGCTTTCCCCCCTGTGCCTTCACCGCGTGTCCCCCTCCGCCCTCTCATTCACAGCAACGCGTACAACATGGTACTCCATAAGTAGAGCAACCGCCTGTTCGCAGGGCCCGTCCCCACGCTACATGTGTCTTTCCCTTGTCTCTCCCTGTGCTTTCCCCCCTGTGCCTTCACCGCGTGTCCCCCTCCGCCCTCTCATTCACAGCAACGCGTACAACATGGTACTCCATAAGTAGAGCAACCGCCTGTTCGCAGGGCCCGTCCCCACGCTACATGTGTCTTTCCCTTGTCTCTCCCTGTGCTTTCCCCCCTGTGCCTTCACCGCGTGTCCCCCTCCGCCCTCTCATTCACAGCAACGCGTACAACATGGTACTCCATAAGTAGAGCAACCGCCTGTTCGCAGGGCCCGTCCCCACGCTACATGTGTCTTTCCCTTGTCTCTCCCTGTGCTTTCCCCCCTGTGCCTTCACCGCGTGTCCCCCTCCGCCCTCTCATTCACAGCAACGCGTACAACATGGTACTCCATAAGTAGAGCAACCGCCTGTTCGCAGGGCCCGTCCCCACGCTACATGTGTCTTTCCCTTGTCTCTCCCTGTGCTTTCCCCCCTGTGCCTTCACCGCGTGTCCCCCTCCGCCCTCTCATTCACAGCAACGCGTACAACATGGTACTCCATAAGTAGAGCAACCGCCTGTTCGCAGGGCCCGTCCCCACGCTACATGTGTCTTTCCCTTGTCTCTCCCTGTGCTTTCCCCCCTGTGCCTTCACCGCGTGTCCCCCTCCGCCCTCTCATTCACAGCAGGCACTCCATAAGTAGAGCAACCGCCTGTTCGCAGGGCCCGTCCCCACGCTACATGTGTCTTTCCCTTGTCTCTCCCTGTGCTTTCCCCCCTGTGCCTTCACCGCGTGTCCCCCTCCGCCCTCTCATTCACAGCAACGCGTACAACATGGTACTCCATAAGTAGAGCAACCGCCTGTTCGCAGGGCCCGTCCCCACGCTACATGTGTCTTTCCCTTGTCTCTCCCTGTGCTTTCCCCCCTGTGCCTTCACCGCGTGTCCCCCTCCGCCCTCTCATTCACAGCAACGCGTACAACATGGTACTCCATAAGTAGAGCAACCGCCTGTTCGCAGGGCCCGTCCCCACGCTACATGTGTCTTTCCCTTGTCTCTCCCTGTGCTTTCCCCCCTGTGCCTTCACCGCGTGTCCCCCTCCGCCCTCTCATTCACAGCAACGCGT